ACCACTGAACCCACATCTGATCCCAAACCTAATCCTGCACCCACCAGGCCTCGGGCCGACAGCGACCTTGATGGCGACAGCGATGAGATCAGTGATTCGGGGAGGGAAGAGGAACTGTGGGAAGAAGAGTGAGTAAGGAAGTCTTGCATTTATGGTAGAGTTTTGTCATTCAGGGTCAATAACGCAGAAAACATTTTTGCATTTAATAAAAAGTTCTCGAGATATGTTGAATTTGTTTGCAAAAGATGCAAGACGCGATCGCAGTGGTCAAAGGCATCCATCTAGTAGAATGCAAAAACATGTTGTGTTTTTATACAAAATAAAATTCTATGCCATGAAAACCACTGCTTTCTGTTCATGTTTCTCTCTTATTTAAAAAAAAAACTGTCAAAATCTTGCAGATTCTTGAAGGGTTATGTCAGTAATAGGGTTATGTCAGGTGAACACTTACTGGACTGAAGCTACCTAGGTTTACTTGATTATCCATGCATCATTTTTAGAAACATTTTGTTCAAATGTGAGTATCAAATATGATCCATCGGGTTTTTGAGGAACGTTTATTTGTGCATCTCTCAGTCATCATTGTATTGGATTGCATTATATGTATTGCCCTCCACAATAAAAATGACAGCGCTTCAATCATAAAGGGTTCCTGTGGGTCATTAAAAAGTCAAAAAAAATCTGAGATTTGAATAAAATCTCTTAAATGTGTATTTTTTTCTGATAGGCATTAAATTTTGAGTTGAGGTCTAAAATCTGATTGAAGATATAGCAGTTTACTACAACTCAATGTTATTGTATGTAGTCTTGTTTACATACGTAACATTTAGCAAAAAATGAAAAAATGATGTATTGTGATTTTGTGAGAGTGCTTTTTCTAAATATTAGCACGACTGCAAATGTGATATTGATTTAACAGTTCAATAAAGAGTCATTAAATAAATTCAGTGTATATTAAATATATTTTCAAAGAATTTTGTGAAAGGAAATTTTCCAAATGAAACCACAGCAGAACTGTTGTGCGTCTCAGAGCAACACACAGAGGTGCTTCATTACAGAATGTCTTAGCGTTTTGAACAAATTAGTTTAATTAATGATTCAGTGATCCGTTCATAAAGACAGCTGTCACTTTCTTCGTTCCTGAATGAATCAGCCATTTGAACAAATCGGCTGAATTAATGACTCACTCAACTCAAGCAAAAGACAGTGACTTGCTGCCACCAACTGGCGGTTTTATATTTAAAGTACTGGTACCTTTTAATTTAAATAATTTAAAACCAGCCTCATAGCATTATTTAGGCAGTTGTAAATGCATTCAAAAACTTGCTCAGTAAAATATTGTCTAATTGTCTATTGTCTAATCAACAAAATTCCCAAAAATATGGAAATATAATTTTTTGTCAGTATTGCACAGACACCCCTAGTGTACAGTATTAATTTCATTTTTTCATGTTCTGAAAAGGTCTTAAAAAGCCTTAAATTTGACTTAAAAATGTGCAGCAATACAGTCAATAAAACCAAGCATTTAAATCTCATCGACATATTATTGGGAGAAAGAGTGACAACTGATATTTATATGCATTTCAGATTACTTTTTGGACCATAGAACCTGTACCTTGCATATTTTTGCTCAGTTTGACCCCTTGAATAAATTTGAGGTGGTTTTTACCTTAAGTATGAATCCCATTTTCAATAAAAGCCTGATGTATCAAATATGATACTCAATAAAAACACATGCAGACTTTATTTATTTTTTTGAATTACATCTAAAGGGTCCTTAAACTTAAATGTTTTTTTTTTCTTTTGGACTCTAATTTCATGGAAGGCTTTATACGGTTAGTCCTGATACTAGTTTTCAGTTGTTGTTATTGTAGCCACTGAGTCAATTTTTTTTGAATCCATGCATATAAAGCATGTTTATTTTGTATTACAGTCTTGATTCTGGTGATGACTGGAACTCTCTTCTGGAAAGTCCGGATCGTTCAAAATCAGCTCAGTCACCAAAAGGAGGCAACCCCCCTACACCCACATCATCAGGACCGATAGACAAACTCTCTCTATCCACGTCTGAAGCTGCTCCTGAAGCCACACCCACATCTGAAGCCACGCCCACTTTTGAAGCCTTTCCCACAACCAACCACAATTCCACTCCCACACCTACCCCTAATCCAGCACCCACTTTACCACGACGAAGAGGCCGGCCACGAAAGCATGCTTTAAAACTCAACCTCACACCTAAACCAACCCCTGATCGCGCTACAGCTATAACTAATTCATTACCAGCAGCTGATTCCACTCCTGTAACCATCTCCGATCCCTCCGCTGATCCCATCCCTGCATCAAGTTTAGATCCCGCTCCCAATCCCGCCATCTCCACCAATTCTGAACCCAATCCCGAACCTACTTCCACTTCTGAAGCTATGCCGCAACCCACGGAATTTCTTTGTATACGAAGGAAAGACTTCAACGTCGTCGGGTAAAGGTGCCGGGTACGATTCAGTAATGAGACTACTGGATCACAAGGTCCTCGGCAAGGGTTATAGGTTATACATGGACAATTTCTACACCAGCCCGACTCTTTTCTTGGATTTGTTGCAGAACGGCATCCTCGCTTGTGGCACATTGCGCCATACTTCCAGTTTACCGAAGGCCAACGACCTGAGCAGAAGATCTGAATTAGGATCCATCCGTTGGTATCGGCAAGGTCCTCTTCTGTTCGTCAAATGGATGGACGCGAGAGAAGTCCTCATGTGTTCCTCAGTTCACAAGGCGTTTACTGGGGATACGGTCACCAGGAATGCCAAGGGTTCCGATGGGGTTTGGAGAACACGTCTAATTCCTGTTCCATCTGCTGTGAAGGACTACAGCAAATACATGGGAGGTGTTGATTTCTCGGATTCCCTCATAGAGTATTATAATGTCCTCCACAAAACCACAAAATGGTACAAGACCTTCTTCTTCCATTTTCTTGACATCGCAGTGGTCAACAGTTTCATCCTTCACCAAGAATTGGCGAAAGCTCAGAACAAGGTCCCACTCACCCAAAAATTGTTTAGGGAAACCCTTGTTTCAGAACTTGCACGTGCCGGCAGAGATAAGAATCCTTCTTCGTCTGCTGCCAAAGATCCCTCAACATCCGCCACGCCGGTCTCCATAAGTATGTCAGCACAGGTGCCTTCAACCCCTAATGAAACGAATGCATACTCGCCGTCCGACACGGAGCCGTCTCCCCCAGCCTCGCCCGCCCAGACGGAGCAATGCTATCCTGAGTATTTCGGTTCTGATGCTACGCATGGGAGGCGAGTTTGTGTCATGTGCAAACTGCAGGGAAATAAAGTCAAGACTCCCATATACTGCTCCCACTGCAAGGTGGCATTGTGCTTTGTGTCGTCACGTAACTGCTTTAAGAAATGGCACATAGATTATCACCTGGAAGATTTGTAGATATGTTGCATGTTTGGATTTTTTGGGGGCCTTTTATTTTTTTACATTTTGTATGAACTTGTTACTTGTATAGTTATGACTATATTAAATACAACTACAATTGATATAGTGTCTTGTTTTCTGTTTGCAACTTTGCGTACATTTTTATCAGGTGCTTTTTCTACCAAAAGGGCACTGCTGAAATCCAATATTCATCATCAAAAGAAATGTTTACTTGAAGTGTGTTTTTTTTTTTTGTATGTTAAAATACATAGTGGTATCCCAGTCCAAATTGATCTACTATAAGCATGATGTTTCCCCCGTAAAGTGTAACATGGTGGTGTTATCGAATAATTGATCAATTTGAGGTTGAAAACAATCATTCTTTTTGCAATTGTGTTTGGTGACATTAGTGGCACAAAAATTACAGTATTCTAACTGTAGGTTAGACTTAATTGTAGAGAAAGCACACATTATGACAGAATACATTGTATTATGACTAGTGCTGTCAAACGATTAATCACATCCAAAATAAAAGTTTTTGTTTACATAATATATATGTGTGTACTGTGTATATTTATTATGTATATATAAATACACACACATGCATGTATATATTTTTTAAAATATTGACATGTGTATATATATTTATATTCATATATAATTTAAATTATATATAAATATTTTATATATAAGCAAAACATTTTTCTTATAAACATGCATGTGTATTTATATATACATAATAAATATACACAGTACACATATATTATATACATGCATGTGTATTTATATATACATAAATATACACAGTACACACATATATTATGTAAACAAAAACTTTTATTTTGGATGTGATTAATCATTTGACAGCATTAATTATGACTTTAATCGTTCATTTTTAAAGGTTGATATTTGCTGATTTAAATACAGTTTGTGCGCTCATTCCAAACTTCAAAAAACAATTGCAGTTTGAGATTTCTATGTACTATTTGGGGATAAAATAACCTGCAGAAAATACCTAATGGTGCTATAAAAGATGAGACTTGAGTAGTGATGTTTCATCTTCAATTTAAAGTTATTGAGGCACAAGATGATCTAGAAAATCTTATAAAAAATATGAAAAATTATATAAAAAAATTCATTTTATGTCAACATCAGAATCTATATCTAGAACAGTGGGAATTATTGGAATTTTTCCATTAATTTCTATTAATTAATTTCTCCATTAATTTGTGACCCTGACTGTAATATAATATAAAAAATGTAACTTAAGTCTAATTACAAAATAATAATAATCAGAACACCTAAAACAACGTGACATACAATAATGTGAATTTGTAGGCTAATGTGCTTAATTGCCAGGAAAATAATCTTAGTTGTGAAATCTTAATTATGATGTCCATTCATAGGATTTTGGTATTTGTTGCAGATTGAAAAAAAGATCCGTCTCAGACTATTAGACAGTGAACATTACAATATATTCAGTACATTAAGATTTTTAGACCATCCGTACTGAGCTTGTTTTGTATTTGTTTCTTTTTCTGGTTTACATTTCATTTGTGTTTTGTATTTCTCAGTCCCTGCGACTGCTGTGTTCCTCAGATCTTAAACCGTACATCATCTTCATCAGGCCTTCTCCTCCTCCTCCTCAGGAGCGATTCTCCACCCTGCTGACCAGAGGAGTGAAGAAACACATGGTCTTCATGATACACATTTTTTATTTAGATAATTTACACTAGCAGTCAACTATACACACACACACACACACACATATATATATATATATATATATATAATATAAAGTAAAAATGCTGCTTTAAATTTAATCTGATCCAATTCATTCAAAAAACAAAAAAATATTTTTTTTAATAAAATGCATGCACTATTCATTTAATGATATATTTTTTCATATTTGAAGCTTTTAAGTAAAAGCCTTTAGATCAAAAGGTTTTTGAGAACACAAGGAATATCAATCTATTAAGTGCGTCCAAACCTTTTGACTGCTAGATGTACAGTTGCATATAGAGACGTGTATAATGGGAAAACACTTAAATCATATTTCACATTAGGTTTCTCTTTGAGCATTTGACAAACCAATTATTATCATGTAATTTTCTTTGCGCAGCCCGAGGATGTGAGAGAGACCTTGGAGAAAGCGCGTGAGATGGAGCACAGCTACGGTCACTTGTTCGATGCAGTCATCACAAACATCGAGCAGGACAAGAGTGTCTCTGAGCTGCTGAGACTCATTGACAAACTGGACATCGAGCCGCAGTGGGTCCCTTCAGCCTGGGTCAGCTAAAAAACACTTTCAGTTCAGAAGAAATGTGTTTTCACTGTTGAAGGCTAGAATTGCTCTGATGAGGAGCAACAAGCGGTATGTTTGAAATGGCCACCATACTGCTCATACTGTTTTTGCAGTATGGATATTGTGCACAGTGTGCTTCCTTTTTGTGTGTGTCTACTTGTTAAAGGAATAGTTCACCCCAAAATGAAGATTTGCTGACAATTTTCTCCCCATTCAGGTCATCCGAGATGTAGATGAGTTTGTTTCTTCATCAGATTTGGAGAAATGTAGCATTGCATCACTTGCTCAGCAATGGATCCTCTGCAGTGAATGGGTGCCGTCAGAATGAGAGTCCAAACAGCTGATAAAAACATCACAATAATCCACAAGTAATCCACACCACTCCAGTCCATCAGTTAATGTCTTGAAAAGACAAAAGCTGCGTGTTTGACAGAAACAAATACATCAAGACGTTTTTAACTTCAAACTGTTGCTTCTATCCATAATATTGCTTCTTCCAGTTAAAAAGTCATCTGGTCTGAATCAGGAGAGAAATCTGCACAGATCAAGCACCGTTTACAAGCAAAAACTGGAGTGGTGTGGATTACTTGTGGATTATTGTGATGTTTTTATCAGCTGTTTGGACTCTCATTCTGACGGCACCCATTCACTGCAGAGCATCCATTGCTGAGACACTGATGCAATGCTACATTTCATCTTGGATGGACTGATGGTGAGTACATTTCAGCATATTTGAATTTTTGGGTGAATTATTCTTTTAAACATACTTATTTATGTGTATACATAAATTCAATTGATGTATTCACATAAATATAGTATGCTGTACATTGTGCACAGTATGCAGTACAGTATTTTTTCACTCCAAACAGGCCTGAATTGCTGCAATATGGACTTCCATAAGTTTTGTGGAGATTTTTGCAATATTGTTTTACCATATTTTGTGCTTGAAGTATTTCACCTTCAAGAAAAAAAAGCATTGAAATTATTTTCTAAATATAGATACATATTAAAGTATTTCCTCATCATAAAGGATATTTGTGAGCAGTTTCATAAAGCTGTAAATCTGTTTCAGTGTTCTTATATCAGTAAGGTAACATGTTACACATTGACATTGAATGTAAAACGTGTTGAATGTATGATTTGACAATACCTAAGCCAAAACTAATGTTAAAATTGTTTTTCATTAAAAAAGTTGGCGTAATGGTATATATGCAACGCTTAACAGTTTGAGTGCAAAACCACTGAAGCACATGTTCATTTCGTGATTTAACATTTATTTCTACATTGAAATTTAGTGAATATGTGAATTAGATTTTTTTTTTTTTTTGAAGTAAATTACAGTAATGTAATATTGTAGCCTGAGTTTTTTGTTTCTGCCACAGAATATATATTTAAACTTTTTTTTCTCGCAGTTGCGACTTCTCAGAATTGTGAGTTTATATATACTGCAATTCTAGAATATATAAAAGAAAAATGTCACAATTGTGATATTAAAAAAGGGGCTATTACCTTTTTACATTTTTTTTTATCCCGTGTCAGAAACAAGCTTTGAAAAGCTTCAGCTATAAGTTTGATTTTAAAAGTTGCATTTGCAACCCATTTTGTGTTCATCACACTAACTAATCAACAAATGACCAAGCAAATGACCATGTACAACATTTATTGAAATTAAATTCACAGGAAGTGAGATTTGAGTACACATTTGCATGGAGAACCAGCAACTGGGCATGAGGAAGAATCTGGGCTGATGTTCGGTAAGGATTATGTCAACATTGAACTATTTGACCACAGAATACTCTCGGTTATCACACACTAGCTAACGGAGAAGGTTGCACTGGTTTAACACGCATGCTTATAAGTACAATTCAATGGGATGATCATTTTAATTCATTTGAACTATTTTACAGGTTTTCTTTTCTGTTCAGACATAAAAAAATAAAAAAACTTCCACTTGAAATGGTTTTTGGATTCAGATGATCCACCTGCACATTTTTGCAGCATCTGTGATGTACTATTCATCCTAAACAAAAGAAGTGACACGGCACCAACATACACACAAAACAAGATCTTCCACTTTTCCCGTGAAGCTCGGCCTTACAGGCACAAAGAATAAATATGATGTGGTTTGTGGGTTCAGCACAGATCTCATTCAAACAGCATGTCCTCGTCGGCCTCATCGTTCAGCATGTTCAGGGGCTCGGCGATCGGGCCCAGTTGAGCCTTACGCTGGGCGTTCTCCTTCTCCGTCCTCTCACGGTGCTGCTTCTTCTTCTCCTGGATCTTCTTGAGCCTGCGACGGGAAAGCAGGATGATGAAGGGTTGGTGGATATTCTGAATATATATTTATTTATATAATGTTAATATAAATATTATATTAAAATATAATATTTCATTTGGACTGCTAAGAGCGGCATTCTTTGTATCAGGTTCCTTAAAAAGTCAAGTTTTATTACATTTAAAGTCATAAAAAATCTTAAATAAATGGTAACAGAAGTAACAATAAATATTAATAATTTTAAGAAGTCTTAAATTTGGGGACGGAAAAACAGGAATCGCAATATGGGCTAATTTGATTATTAAAATGATAAATTATGTTTTTATTATAATTTGTTGTAGATAGCTGTAAGATTGCATATATTATTTCCCTGGTCATTCTGAATGAGCGGCTGGAAGTAGTGAGACAATGACTTTTCAAAATAAGAGTCCCATTGCATTTTGGGATTGTTTATCATTAACAGGGCAGGAAAGAATAAGAATATTATTTAACATGTTTTATATATAGATTTTACCTGTATCAGCACAATAATCCGGTTATTACAATTCTTCAAACTAATTATTATTGTATCAGCAAACTCCAATATCAGTCGACCTCTAATAAGTATTGATATTTTGATACATAAACCAATTTCATGTATAGATGAGGGTTATTATAGTAAATTAAAACTAAAATCATAACCATAAAAAAATTCAGTTACTTGAAATAAATGTTAAATGAAAAAACTATTAATTGTGATTAATCACATCCAAAATAAATGTTTTTGTTTACATAATATATGTGCGTGTACTGTGTATATTTATTATGTATATATAAATACAAACACATATATATATATATATATATTCAAGAAAAATGTTATGTTTATATTTTAAATATATTTATATATATAATATAAATATATATATATACACATGTAAATAGTTTCAAAATATTTACTGTATGTGTGTGTATTTATATATACATAATAAATATACACAGTACACATACATATATTATGTAAACAAAAACTTTTATTTTGGATGCGATTAATCATTTGACAGCACTAGAAAAAACATAAAATAACAAAAATGTATTTTATTTTATTTCAACTAGTTGGCAAGGCAATATTTCTCACTTTAATTTATATATTAACTAAAACCTAAATAAAAAACTATATATTTAAATATATTTAAAAAGAAACAAAATACAAATAAAATTACAAAAACACAACAAAATTACTAAAACTTTATCTAAAATAAAAAATAACAAAATAAAAACAAACTAATTTAAAGCTATAATATTATCTCAATGATACTAAAATAACACTGATGTAGATAAAGCAATAAGCGTTTGAAGCAGTAGTATGCTACATTGTTGTCACATGATCTGGCTATATTGCACTACAGTCTCACCTGTAGAATTCCTCTCGCTCTCGTTCATCCAGCTCAGTAATGATGTACGTGAGCGTGCGCTCGATCCTGGGAATAATCACTGAGAGGAAAAACACACGAGAGTCACATTATCTAGTTTTTTTTGCTTTACAAGAAGCCTGAAGGTTTCATTCTCATTCCGAGGCGGCTGTGAGATCTCACCGTGCTCGATGGCGTTCACACGGCGGTTTGTGATCTTAATGGCCTCGTCCAGCGTCACAAAAGAGGTCTGTGTGTGAATGAATCACATAAGACATTGAGAAATTTGTATTAAATGTAAAAAAAAAAAAATTCATTTTGGATTTTTTTTTCAAAGAAAATCCATTTTCTTTTATGGATATGAATAAATATATTCATACCTGCAGTGAGGCCAGCTCTACAAGAAGCTCGACTGCTTTGGCGTAGTTCCTCTTCAGCCGAGACAGCTGCTCTCCACCTCTGGCCAAACCAGTGAGCTCATAACCTACAGACAAGAAAAAATGCCTGAAATGACACCTGAAAGTGTTCAAACGTGCTCCAGTTTCACAGGTATATGCTAATAAAGGAATAGTTTAGCCAAAAATGAACTTTTACTGAAAATGTCCTCACCCTCAGGCCATCCGAGATGTAGATGAGTTTGTTTCTTCATCAGATTTGGAGAAATGTAGCATTACATCACTTGCTCAGCAATGGATGCTCTGCAGTGAATGGGTGCCGTCAGAATGAGAGTCCAAACAGCTGATAAAAACATCACAATAATCCACACCACTCCAGTCCATCAGTTAATGTCTTTTGAAGCCAAAAGAAACAAATCCATCATTAAGACGCTTTTAACATCAAACCATTGCTTCCGGCCAAAATACGAGTCTATAATCCATAATATTAGCAACAGTTAAATTGCCTTGATGGATTTGTTTCTTACAAACACGCAGCTTTTCACTTCACAAGACATTAACTGATGGACTGGAGAGGTGTGGATTACTTGTGGATTATTGTGATGTTTTTATCAGCTGTTTGGACTCTCATTCTGACGGCACCCATTCACTGCAGAGCATCCATTGCTGAGCAAGTGATGGAATGCTGCATTTCTCCAAATCTGATGAAGAAACAAACTAATCTTGGATGGCCTGAGGGTGAGCACAGTTTCAGCAAACGTTCATTTTTGGGTGAACTGTTCCTTTAGAACATAAACGGAATATGATTCTTACTGTCTCCTCCCTCCTGATAATGCTCAAACACCGGTAGAGTAACTCCTGAGAACAAACACAGGTGACGCTCATGACAAGGCGATCAATTAAAGAAGAAATCGGCCAGTTTTTCACATAAGACTTCATTTAGCTCGCAAACCTGCAACGTTGTCCTTTTTTGCTCTGACCTTCACCTGGGCCTTATTCACATTCTGAATGACTGTAGTACTGATGGGACAAAATTTGGTGAGATCTGGTGCCAGGTTCGTCCTGTGATGCATCATATTTATGAAAAGCATTGCTTTAATGTGATTTTTAACTACCTGAAGTCACCAGCAGCAAATTTGGCCTCCGCTAATGAAAAGGCGGCTTCTCTCATCACCTCTCCCATCAGCGTCTTAGTCTGAAAGATTAAAATAGTCACATCATCATTTCAAAAATTTCGAAAAATAATATTCAATTAAAAAACTATAACTGACAAAAAACACACCATATATACAACATATAAAATACATTTTAAAAAGCACAGGTATGATGTTATACCTCAATGATTTTCCTAAGAATTTGACGAAATCGCATGGACAGAGCATCGGCTTTCTTCTTCAGCAAATTCCGGCCAGTTTGAGCTCCTTTCAGTCGAGCTTTCATAATGGTCTGAGCCCTGATGCAACAAAAAATTATATAATACAGGCCATACATTTTAAGGGAAAAGTATGACATTTTAGCCATGCAATTTGCATACGATTAAATTTTCATACTTCCTAAATATGCACATATTTTTTACATTTTATTTTATTTTTCTTATGTGATTTTTTTAATTGTATAAATTGCATTATTATAGGTTATATATATACTATGCATTTTTGTTCAGTATCTCTCAGTTATAGAAGGGCTCGCATGACTGTGAATAATATCACTTCCTCTTATGAATTACTGCACGATTTAGTTTCACATTATTTATATGCATCCAAAACACATCCAAAATATTGTCATCCATCATATAGAGTTATATATGTATTAGACAAAATGCATCTGCATTATAATATATTGACAAATATGATATGCGTGTTTATGCGATATTTAAACACATACGAAATGTATATAAAATACATCATATATTTAAAATGTGTAACTACATCACAACAAAGCAACACATTCTATACAAATATTAAAGATGCACGATTTTATTTATTTATTTATCATATTACGCATTTAATATGATCTTAGTTCGTGCTTTGAGATCGTACCTGCTTTATAAAACCATAAACTGATCAAATATGTATGAATCAGATGCTGTCACTCTCTTGTTTTCATGCGTGATTAAACATATTGAATCTGATTTGCCTTTATGAGCCGTAATACTCACATTCTAGAGGGAAATACGTCGATCCGATCTTTTCCGGACATCTTTCTTGTTTATTTAAACACTGTATCAAACTACTGAGACGCTTTGCTGTTGAAATCGTCAAATAGACAGTTTAAATATAGTGACAGTTTATTTAATATCACGATTAAATGATTATAATCCCATCGCTATGACCCCTGGATACAAGACGTAAGATTTGATCAGCTGACTGGAGGTCACGTGATTCCTCCTGAACGCGGCGATTGGTCGCGTCACTTCCGTGCGTGTATATCCGTACGTAGCGGTTTTCACATTTCAAAATAATGCTTTTTATTTTTTTTATTATTATTATTATCATTTTAGTTCCATCACATACTATGGAGGACGAAACCTGCAAAAACAATAAATAAATAAATACACAAATAAATAAATAAATATGCAAATAAATAAATAAATGTCTGTATAAATACACAAATTCTTGTTTAAATACATATAGAAATAATTAAACATGTGATTAAAGTAGGCAAATAAATAAAATAAATTGGTGGACAAATGGAAAATGTTTAAGGAAATGCTAAACTCATCCTATTTATTATCCTTTGATCACTCATTTATTTCTGAATGTAGTTCCATATTTCCATATTCATCCATATTAGCAGCATGCTAATGAGAGGGTGTCAACCATGGACTTGGTCGGGGTCATGTCATAGCTGGGGGCGCGGCTTTTCCGCTGACAGGAAATGCATGTTAATCCAGTATGGCCTACGTAAAGTCACTTTTTCCGTTTAACAGAGCAAGATACATAAAAAAACTGAGCTGTATTGTCCGTACAGTATCTGTGACATTACAAACGACCCAAAGAAATGGCCAGTGTCGTTTCCTGACGTCATTTTTTGTAACCCGATTGAGTCTCCAGCTAGAGACAACTGTAATATCAGTATCCCATGGTCATCGTGAGATTATTCACTTTATCCGTGGAATAAGGGCTCGTTCTTGTTTTGTTTCCCTAAAAAGAAATTGACCTTTTATTTTATATAGTTTGCTTAAAGGGGTCATCGGATGCTACATGCACTTTTACAAGTTGTTTGAACTGAAATGTGTGTTGGCAGTGTGTACACAACCACCCTAAAATGATAAAAATCCACCAGGTGTTTTTTTAAAATCTGGTTAAATCTCAAATCGAGCTGATCTCAGATGCCTGTATGTGTGACGTCACACAGACAGGCCCCTCCCACGATAGTTTGATTGACAGTAGCGTTTCAGCACAGACTGGACTGGTGTCTTACCTCAGACCCGCTCTGAGTGAGCTGTCATCAGTCCTCCATTGTTTCACCGCTGGAGCAGAGCTCATTAACATTTAAAGGGAAATGCTACAAAAACGGCTTGATCTGAAAAGAGCTGTTTTTGACAGGGTAAAAAAATTGTTTTTTACACTACCATTGAGAAATTTTAACCAAACTATGTTACAGACTTTTCATTAAGACCCTAAAGAATCATATCAACTTGTGGAAAATGGGCATCATATGACCCCTTTAATGTTTTATTAATATGATTTATTTTATTATTATTAATTTTACTTTGCTTTTTGTCGTTGTCTTTTCTGATTTCAGCACATCCATGTGTTATCGGAGGATATGAGATGATTTTACTTTGTAAAGAATCTGTTTCTATATAACTTTATTTGTGAAATCTCCTCTTAAAAACGTGCATACGTGACTTTTATTCTGAAGTGTGATTGACGGCGGCCGCGGTGACGCAACATCCTGCTGTGTTCACTGGTCGCTGCTACTTCATTCTTTCTCGGCTCGCAGGATCAATGGGCAACTAACGCTCGCTGAAAACTACAGTTTCTGGTCATTTAAAGGGTCTAAAGTGAGCCGATTGTGACAAGTGTCAGGTGGGAATGAGTTACCTGTTCTTCTGTGATCGTTGGGCTCATGTGGAGCTCGTGTTTGAGATGAAACTAGGGTTTGAATGACTGCTGTCAAACAGCATGTGCCGCATGCGCTCTTCACTGATGATCAGATCAGACAGACTGAGCAATAAACAGCTTAATACAATAGATGCCTTAACTGATATCTAGCTAGATGTACTTTTTGAAATCTTCAGGGAAATATGTAAACATTGTGTAAATGAGGTGAACAGTGCAACATTGAACATAAACTACACATTATACAATATACAAGATATACAACATATAATGCAACATATTATTTACATTATAAATACATTATAAACCAGGCAATGGCATATACTTCTGTTCTCTGTAGACTAGGACATTAGTGAATTTCCCTGAGACCACAGTTTTCGGTCTGGATGTCCTGTACAGAGCACATTCAGGGCTTTTTAGAGATATCAAATGTTTGGAGGTTTGATCATAAACACTCTATCTGCTTGGTCTTTAAATATGACTGATATTGACAGAATGATCAAATTTAGCACTCTTAGGGAAATATGGTAATATTTAGCAATTGTCATATATATCTGGCTAATTTTCAAATTGTTTGTCGTGAATAAACATCTCAGAAAAATGTGATTGGGTTTCAAATCGGAATATGATTTTTTGTTACGAAACAGGGCGTAATTTTCATACAGGTCTTCTGTAGAGGACACCAGGACAAACGGCTGTTAATCAGGCATTTTGGGGAAACACAACAAAAAATTATAGAACAATATTCCTATGAAATATGAGATATTCTTATGAAAATGTTGCCAGAGATGATTTTACTTTGTAAAGAATCTGTTTCTATATAACTTTATTTGTGAAATCTCCTCTTAAAAACGTGCATACGTGACTTTTATTCTGAAGTGTGATTGACGGCGGCCGCGGTGACGCAACATCCTGCTGTGTTCACTGGTCGCTGCTACTTCATTCTTTCTCGGCTCGCAGGATCAATGGGCAACTAACGCTCGCTGAAAACTACAGTTTCTGGTCATTTAAAGGGTCTAAAGTGAGCCGATTGTGACAAGTGTCAGGTGGGAATGAGTTACCTGTTCTTCTGTGATCGTTGGGCTCATGTGGAGCTCGTGTTTGAGATGAAACTAGGGTTTGAATGACTGCTGTCAAACAGCATGTGCCGCATGCGCTCTTCACTGATGATCAGATCAGACAGACTGAGCAATAAACAGCTTAATACAATAGATGCCTTAACTGATATCTAGCTAGATGTACTTTTTGAAATCTTCAGGGAAATATGTAAACATTGTGTAAATGAGGTGAACAGTGCAACATTGAACATAAACTACACATTATACAATATACAAGATATACAACATATAATACAACATATTATTTACAGTATAAATACATTATAAACCAGGCAATGGCATATACTTCTGTTCTCTGTAGACTAGGACATTAGTGAATTTCCCTGAGACCACAGTTTTCGGTCTGGATGTCCTGTACAGAGCACATTCAGGGCTTTTTAGAGATATCAAATGTTTGGAGGTTTGATCATAAACACTCTATCTGCTTGGTCTTTAAATATGACTGATATTGACAGAATGATCAAATTTAGCACTCTTAGGGAAATATGGTAATATTTAGCAATTGTCATATATATCTGGCTAATTTTCAAATTGTTTGTCGTGAATAAACATCTCAGAAAAATGTGATTGGGTTTCAAATCGGAATATGATTTTTTGTTACGAAACAGGGCATAATTTTCATACAGGTCTTCTGTAGAGGACACCAGGACAAACGGCTGTTAATCAGGCATTTTGGGGAAACACAACAAGAAATTATAGAACAATATTCCTATGAAATATGAGATATTCTTATGAAAATTTATTACTCCCATTATACCACTTCTTTTTTCATTATGGTTTGCCTCAAGAACACATTAATGTGCAAATTAGATGCAATGTATAGATGCATCGGAATACCAATTTATGGACATTTTACGCACATATTCCATAAAGTATAGCAGTATATCAAATCATTCTGTTATATCTTTCATAACATAGTTGAGAATCATCTTTGTACAAAGTTTGGCTAAAAATAGCCTGAAACCTAAAAACTGATTGGTGAATGAAAAAAATAAGTCATTGTTTTTGCCTATACATGCATTTTATATTTTTATTTATTTATATATATATATTTTTTAATAACTTATATGAATAAAATATCTTAAATATAGTTTTTCTACATTTGTTTTTTAATGCTCCAACTAATGTAATGACATAAAAAACAACAAAATTTACAAAACTGTTTATTACGGTTTTCAGGAGGATACACAGAATACTGTACACCAGGGGTTTTCAAGTTTAGAGAAAAATATTGACAAATAAAATTGAGATTAAAATAATAAAGACATTAAAAAAAATAAAAATAAATAATACAATTGATTAGAATAAACAAATAAAAAATGAATATGGATAAATAAAAAAATCGATTGAAATAAAATAATGCACAGTACTGTACTATAGTGAACAGTGTTATTTCAGATTAATTGAGATGCTATTATAGTTTTTATTAATATTTTGAATCAGTTTTTATATTTTCTGTTTTTCATTTAGTTACATTTTTAGTAATTTATATATATATATATTAGTAATTTAGTGTGTGTGTGTGTAATATAGTTTTATAAATTTTTATTTTAGTACATCAAGTTAAACTAAATTAAAATGAGTAATGTTGCCTTGGCAACTAGCTGAAATAAAAAGAATGAAAATGTTTTTTTTTTATGGTTTTCATTTTCATTTTTAGTTAAATATACTAAAAAACATTTTTGTTAACTATAATAACTCTGATAGTGTGTAGGATAGGAACAAACTTAATACCTTAACTTAATACAAACTAAATATTTTCCAAATCATATTTATAATATAAATATTTTTTTTTACAGTATAAATTGGTTCTTTATAGATGCAAATATATAGCCGCCTTTTAAATTTTAGAATGGGTGTCCCTTACTTCAGAATGATCATATTTGGGTTTCTGTGGCATCTAAAAGACTAAAAACCAATTGACTGTATATCTAATAGGACTAATGGAAATAAATCAGACATCAGATCTGATAAAAATGAATGCAGTCTCGTGCTCAATAAAGCATTGCTAGTTATCACCTGCATTGTTTTGATATGCTCTCATTGTATATTTTTAACAAGCTCTTCAAACTCAAAAAATATTTGCAATTCGTTTACAAAAATATACACATTTCAAAAACCTCAAAAAATATTATTTTGAAAATAATTTTAAATTAAATGAATAAAAATAATTTATAAAAAATACACGTCAACACA